CCATTCTCTGGAGAACTATGTCATGCTTGGTAAAGTGGAGGGTCAACAAAAGAGGGGAAGGTCCTCAACAAGATGAATTGACACAATGGCTGCAGCAATGGGCTCAGGTATTGTAGGGGTTGTGAGGCTGGCACAGGACCGGGCAGTGTTTTGTTCTGTTATACGTAGTGTCCCTTTGAGTTGGAGATGACTCAACAGCACATAACAGCAACAACATAGTTTACGTTGTTGTTGTAAGGTGCAGTCCAGTTGATTTTCCTAACAACCCCATGTGACAGAGTAGAACTTCCCCATAGGGTTTTCTAGGCCATGATCTTTGCAGGAACAGATTACCTGGTCTTTGTCCCACAGAGCTGCTCAAGGTTCAAACCACCAACCGTTCAGTTAGTAGTTGAGTCCCTAACTACCGTGCCACAACGGTTCACAATTTGTACAGTCCTATGGGTTTTGATAAATGTATGTCATGTGTCCAATGTTACAGTAGCATACAGAATAGTTTCACTGTCCTAAAGATACCTTACGCTCCACTATTCATTGCTCCCTCCTTTTGCTGAACCCCTGGCAACCACTGACCTTTTCATTGTCTCTAGAGTTGTGCCTTTTCAGAATGTCATATAATTGAAATCATAGGTCATTGTTGTTAGGTGCCATTGAGTGGATACTGACTCACAGACACCCCATGTATAGCAGAAAGAAACACTGCCTGGTCCTGCTCCATCCTCACAACCATTGCCATGTGTGAGCCCATTGTTGCAGATGTATGGAATCATGTAGTGTGCAGCTTTTTCATATGGGCTTCTTTCACTTGGCAATATGCATTTAGATTTCCTCCATATCTTTTTGTAGTTTGATAGGTCATTTATTTTTATTGCTGAATAACAGTTGTATGGATGTACCACAGTTTGTTTGTTTATCCATTCACATATTGGAGGATATTCTATTGCTTCTAATTTTTGGTACTTCTGAAAAATCTGCTGGAAACATCTGTGTGCAGGTTTTTATGTGGACATATGTTTGCATCTTATTTGAGTAAATACCTAGGAGCGTGATTGCTGGATCCTATGGTAGCCTATGTTTAGCTTTGTAGGAGACAATTGGACTATCTTCCAAAGTGGCTCTACCATTTTGCATTCCCACTAGTATTGCACAAGAGCTCTTGATCCACATCTTTGTCAGCTTTTGGTGGTGTCAGTGTTTTGGATTTTAGCCACGGTAACAGATGTGTAATTGTATCTCATTGTTGTTCTATCTGCAATTCCTTAATGACATATGATGTTGAGTAGTTTTTCATATTCAATCTTGTTCTACTTACTATGATTATTTATAAGGGCTTTTATTTTTGCCTTTCCTTTTTTTTTTTTTGGAAATTTAACTTGTTTTTCTTCCAAAGTAACTTTAGGATTGTTGTCAAGTTAAAAATAATAAACATCTGTTGGATTTTTATTTTAATTACATTAAGCCTAGGTAACTGCTTTTTAAAGATCCACACTTCATCCTTCTGTTTTAGGAGGATAATTCATACATACTTTTAATTTTAACATTTGGGGATTAAAAATGTTGAGATTCTTTGCCACATATTTAGAGCACTGCCAAACAGATTTGGATTGAATTAACTTAAGAAATTTCAGAGGCTCCCTTCCCCTACCCTGAAGAAAAAAAAGCATGTCAGAAGTTACTAAAATCAAGGCAAAAAAATATTTATGTAGATGAGCAATTCCCAATTAACATGAAAAAGTAGAATTTGAACTGGAAATGAATTTGGAAAATACAAAAATATTTCACTTTTGTCAATTTGCTCATCTGTGCTTTTAAGGTAAGGAGCACTGCTGCTGTAGTGGTTAAGGCATTTGGCTGCTAACCAAAAGGTCAATGGTTCAAACCCACCAGCTCCTCCATGGGAGAAAAATGGGGCAATCTGCTTCCATAAAGATTTACAGCCTTGGAAACCCAGTGGGGCTTATAGAATCGAGTCTATAGCAGTGAGTTTGGTTTGGCCCTTAAGGTACAAGATCTTCCAGACCATGCTTATCTATGTTATAAAAAATAAAATAAAACCACACTAGTTGCTGTTGAGTCGGTCTCAACTCGTGGCAACCCCATATGTGCCGAGTAGAACTGCTCCATGGGGTTTTCAAGGCTATGGTGGTTCAGAAAGAGGTCATTACGCCTGTTGTCTGAGGCACCTCTGGGTGTGTTCGAACTGCCAACCCTTTGGTTAGTAGTCCGGTGCTGCTTAACTGTTTGCTCCAATTAAAACAAAAACAAAACACACTGCCGTCGAGTCAGATCTGACTCATAGAGACCCAATGAAGGACTCCATATATGTTATACCCATGAAAAAAAACCAAACTCATTGCCATGGAGTTGATTCTGACTCATAGCAACCCTATAAGATAGAGTAGAACTATCCCATAGGGTCTCCAAGGCTGTAAATCTTTACGGTAGCAGCCTGCCACATCTTTCTCCTAAGGAGTGGCTGGTGGGTTTGAACCGCTGACCTTTCAGTTAGCAGCTGAACTCTTAACCACAGTACCACCAGGGCTCCTATATACGTTATAAGAGAGATGTAAATGAGGGCTTATAAGGGGCTTAGAACATATGACTCCCCATCAATGCCATCAAGTGATTGGCTTAATAGAGATTCAGAGACCTTCCGACAGTTAATGGGGGTGCTCCTGGTATAGCTAAGTCTATATCTGGATCTTTTTTCACAGTCCAGTTGTATAGATTGATTATTGCACACACTGGCTTTTATGACTCATTTTCACAAAGTTGCTCTGTGGGGTGACGTGGCCCTGCCTTTTCATCTGCTGTCTGTTCAATGATGCCATGGTTAAAGCATTCGGCTGCTAACCCAAAGGTCAGCAGTTCTAACCCACCAGCTGCTTGGTGGGAGAAAGATGAGGCAGTCTGTTTCCATAAAGATTTACAGCGTTGGAAACCCTGTGGGGCAGTTCTCCTCTATCCTATAGGGTCTCCATGAGTTGGTATCAACTCAATGGCAGTGGGTTTGGGTTTTTTAGGTCTGTTCAATTGTGGCTTCAACCAAGATGGAAATCAATTAAAACTTTCTTATGCCAATTTTGAGTTCAGGATACTGATATTTTTAAGTAAATTACTGTTTTAAAGTCCTTTTTTTTTCCATGTGGTGTATGATGAGTTTGAAAAAGCTAAATCTTGAAGATAAAATTTCAGTAAGCATTTAAAAGATAACAGAATGTTTTCATGGCTAGAACTAGTTTTCCCCATGGAAATATGGAGATGGTGATAGGAAATGGCCTGTAAAGAGATCTTTTACCAGCTCTTTAAGGAACCCTGGTAGTGCGATGGTTAAGCGTTTGGCTGCTGACTGAAAGGTTGGTGGTTTGAATGCAGCAGCCATTCACAGGAGAAAAGAACTAATGATCTGCTCTGGCAAAGATTTCAGCCTAGGAAACCGTATGGGGCAGTTCTACTCTGTCCTGTACGGTCACTATGAGTTGGAATCAATGCCGTGGCCCCCAACAACAACCAGGTCTTTAATAAAATGTGCCCATCTTTGAAAAATAATCTATCACAAGAAAATGTTTAATTTTTACATTGCCTTAAAAGTTTTTATTGTGAAAAATAAATATGTAACACGAAATTTGCCATTTTAACTATTTTAAAGTGTCCGGTTCAGTGGCACTACTTACATTTGTCATGTGTAACCATCACCACTGTCCATTTCCAAAACTTCTTCACCACCCACACGGAGACACAGCACCCCTTCAGCATCCATTCCCCCCTCTCCGCCCAGCCCCTGGGAATCTCTAACTTTACATTGCCTTTTTCTTCCAGGTGAAGTGTTTGTCTTAAACGATGGCGGAGAAGTTGATTTAGACCTGGGAAATTATGAAAGGTTTTTGGATATTAATCTTTATAGGGACAACAACATCACCACTGGGAAGATATACCATCATGTGATCAACAAAGAGAGGCGTGGTGATTACCTGGGGAAAACGGTACAAGGTATTCTGGTCCTGATATATGGCACCCGACGGGCCCAGCGTTCACACCCTGCCCTTAACAGATGGGAAAGTGACATGACCCTTGCCCTCGAAAGTTCTAATCCTTCTTAATTCCCTGGGTTCTTTTCCTGTTCCTCAAAAACGTCAAGCTCCTTCTCCATGTTCCTGAGTGTATTTTCATCTGGGTCTTTTTGCTTTTTGCCGAATGCCATTTTGTTCCTTTGTATATGTCTCTTTTTGTTTGTTTTCTAGCTTTTAGTTTAGCATATCCCTGGAGAACCGTTTTATTTTTTCTTCTTCAAAAGTTTCACCTGTTTGGGGCATAGGTTATTTGGCCTTTTGCCTGCCTTTAATGTGTATCTCCTTTTCCCTCTTTGCTTTTGGATCTTTGCTTAGATGGTTATTGCTCGTTTCTCAAGGACAGTGCTGGGGAGGGAGAGGCAGGCAACAGCACCAGCTGATTCCTGTTACTCTCTCCCCAACCCTTTCCCTGCTGTTGTTGTTAGGTGCCATTGAGTCAGTCCCCAACCCATGCCGTCCCTGTGCAGTGGGATTGGACCGTAGTGATCCATAAGGTTTTCGTTGGCTGATTTTCAGAAGTAGCTTGCTAGGCCTTTCTTCCTAGTGTATTTTTAGTCTGGAAGTGCCACCCAAACCTGTTCAGCACCGTAGCAATGTGGAAGCTCCATTGACAGACGGCTGGTGGCTGCACATGAGCTTCATTGGCTGGTATTGAACTTGGATCTCCTGCAGGGAAGACGAGAATTCTACCATGGAACCACCACTACCCCCTCATCCTTTCCCTGGTGCTGTGATTTTTCTTTTGTCTTAGAAGAAGCCCCTCTGGCACCCTCTGAAGACTTGTATCCATATGTGTCTGTATGATAAGGTGGTTGGTGTGTCCAGTTGGCTCTGACTCATAGTGGCCCTAGATAAAACAGAACAAAATGTTGCCTAGTCCTGTGCCGTCCCCACAATAGTAGGTTGGTGGGGTAAAAGTGATAATTTTCCCATCTCTTTTAAATCACTTTTGTGTTGGAGCCAGCTCAGAAGGGTAGACACAGGAGTCAGCCAGAGGAAGCTCAGAGGGTCAGCTGTGTCCCCACTGAGACTGGACAGAGTGGCTGAGATCTGCCATTACTCTATGCTTTCTCATACCTCCCCCTCTCCCAAGGGCAAGTCTTGGGAGAACCCAGCAGAGGGAGAGATGCTCTCTCATACCTGCTACATCCCAACGATGGGGAGAAGACAAGGCCCCCGACCTGGGCCTTGATTCCTGGCCTTGGGCTTCCCAGGTGGAGGCCAGCCCTACAGACTCTACCATCTTGGAAAGGGGCTGGGCCAGGCATGCACAGTGGGTCATTCCAAATTCACCCAGGGGAGATGACTTCCTTCTGCCTTCAGGGAGCAACAGGTGCAAGGTGGAGCAGGTGGCAGATGCTCTTTTGCCTCAGTTTCCTGGACCAGCATTTCTACTTCATGCATCAAGTTAGGAGCTCTCTGCCTAGTCCCTGTGGGCCTGCAGGACTTTTGGTGTCTTCAGAAGCCTGGGGCCTGTCTGTCACCTAGGGACTTCGGACCTGCATGGGAAGCCTCAGCCATGCTCTGCTGAGTCAACCCTTCCTCACTAGATGAGGTTACCCCCAGAAGTTCTGCCCCTCAGTGGGGCTCAGCACCCAGGGTCTACAGGACCATGGTGCCCTCTGCATGCCTCTTCCTCCTTGAGCCCAGCATTCAGCATGCTCGGCCCTCCTTGCGGATTCTAGTAGGCATTTTAGGTGTTTTCTACTTTCACCAAAGATGGCATTGCTGCTTTCTGCATCTTGTTCTCTGTGATGGTTGGTTTCAAGAGAAGAGGGAGGAACTACTTTAATGGCATAGCATTGAAGTGCCTCAACACATTTATTTCAGTGAGGGAAGATAATAGTTGGGAACCAGAGCTTGCCTGATTTGCTAGGTGGCTTTCAGGTCATGTAGGAAGTCTAGAGCCCTTCTCCCACATTCCTTTCTCATGAGCAGGAACTGAGCATCTATGTCACCTTTGCTTTTTTTGGTAGTGGTCCCCCACATTACTGATGCCGTCCAGGAGTGGGTGATGAAACAAGCCATGGTGCCTGTGGACGGGAATAATGAAGAGCCCCAGATCTGCGTCATTGAGGCAAGCATGGCACTTTTCTTTATCAGCTTGTGTCTGAACTCCATTCAATCAACAAATCTGTGTGTCAGGCACTGTGCTAGGAGGTGGGGTGACAGCAGGGAGCAAGCATAGTGGCACCTGCTCATGGCCACACGTCAGTGGGCATTAAGCAGATAAGAACACAGGCACTCTTGGGTGGCCCTGCAGGGACCTGCTGTGGAGATCATCTGCCTCTTGTAGAGTCAATGTTAAGGGCCGCCCCCTCAGTGCCCAGGCCTGGGATGGGCGTGGTCCCTGCCTGCAGGAGCTTACGGATAGGCCTAGACACCAACTTCCGATGCAGAGGTGCTGAGTGAGGGAAGTCACATGGTAGAGGTGATTGAGGGTGAAAAGCGTATATTAGCTGGTCTAAGAAAGAATGTAGTATTTGAACTTGCCACTTGTTCATGGATTTCTTCCCTTCTGCTCCATGTGCAGAATGAGAATAACAGCCGAGTCCTTTTTATCTAAGTGTCAGTGTGCCTAATTCCCAGGCAGAAGAGCAGAATAATGAATAGCTCACTTTCTAGAGTCAGACTGCCCAGATTCAAATTTCTGCCCTGACCCTCTGAACGGTGTATAGCTCAGTAGTTAAGAAACTGGAGCCAGACTGGTGAACCAAGCCGTGGCCCCCGTGGGTCAGAATAAAGTTCATAGTCCAGCTGGGACCTTGGGCAAGTTTGCCTCACTTTTTTGTGCCTCAGTTTACTCAGCTGCAAAATGAGGATGATGATGATGATAATAATAATAATATTTTCACTCATTACTTTGAGAATCAAATGAGTCTATACAAGTAAAGTGCTTAGAATGATGTCTGACTCAGAGTAAGTGTTTACCAATTATTAGCCATTATTACTGTGCCTTTGGGCAAATGACTTCTCAAAGCATCGATGGACTTGTCTATAAAGTGGTGATAATAATGGTAGTTCTGAGGGTTTACAGGAGATACTTTGAAGCATGTGGCAATCTGGGAAATTCTCAAAAAGCATGTTAGCTGTTAATAGTATTATCAGTGTTAGCAGATTGGTATTACACTTTGAGCAGATCCATTTTGTTAATAGTAGGACTGATAATATAAATGTATGATACTAAACCAAACCCACTGCCATTGAGTCAATTTTGACTCTGGCAATCCCTGTTGGTTTTCTAAGGCTGTAAATCTTTATGGAAGTAGATTGCCTCACCTTCTTCTGTTGAGCAGCTGGTGGGTTTGAACCACTGACCTTCTGGTTAGCAGCCAAATTCTTACCCACTACACCACCAGAGCTCCTAAGACTACCATATAGCTTAAAGCTCACTGCCGTTGAGTCATATCCGACTCATAACAACTCCTCCTTGGGTTTCCGAGGCAATATCACTAAGGAAGTAGTAACTATATATTATACTATTATAATAGTATCGTTGATAAACTTAATATAAATGTATAATACAAGTGTGCTATGCAAATTTTTATCTCCCTTAGTGCTTCTAACAACAACAACAGTATTTCTATAACAGAACTGCCACAAGTGGGTGGCTTTAAACCCCCCCCCAAAAAAATAATAATAATAAGAGCTCTGGTGGCTCAGTGCCTAGGGCATTTGACTGCTAACCAGAAGGCTGGCGGTTCAAACCCACCAGCCACTCCTCAGAAGGAAGGTTGGGCAATCTACTTCTGTAGAGATACCACCTCAGAAACCCAAGGAGGGGTATGCTATTGTAATAGTAAGGTTGATAAACTTAATATAAATGCATGATACAAGTGTGCTATGCAAACTTTTATTTCTCTTAGTATTGCTTACAACAACAACAATAGTATCGCTGTAACAGAAATGCCACAAGTGGGTGACTTTACAGAATAGAGATTTACTTTCTCACAGTTCTGGAGGCTAAAAGTCCAAATTAGGGTCTCGGCCTTGTGGATCCTTCCTTGCCGGGGGTCCTGGGTGTGCCTTGGTGCCTTGGCCTCTTGACATTGCTCACATGGCATCTCTCTTCTTCAGCATGTGCATGGGTCTCTGTGTGCTGCTCTTCATATAATTCAGAAGTGATTGGGTAATCAACTGATTGACTGATTACATCACATTAGACCGCATTATGGAAGGTGGTCCCATTATGCTGCATTAGACATACGGTAGTTATGTTACATTAGATTAGATTGCCTCCACAGGTATAGGGTTTAAGGTTCCAACACATATTTTGGAGGGACACAATTCAGTTCATAACAACCAAGGAAAGAGGGGATGCTTTCTTTATACACAGATTATTTTGTAGGACAGAAAAATGCACATATTGTAGATGTCCAGCTTGATGAAGTTGTACACCCTGAATCCAGCTGTGTAACAATAACATTTAATATCTAATACAGTCAACAGTTGGCAAAAATTGAATCAATGATACAGACAAATAGTGTAAGCAAAGAGGAAGGCTGGGAAAGCTCCAGGAAGAATAGAATGGGATACGAGAAAGGAGACGTAAGCCTGGGGTACAGTGTGTGACACCGGTGTGGGGGAGACTTATGTGGACGCTCTGTTTAATGAATTTCCATTTTTAGAATCAACCTTTGAGCACATCAGAGAAATTTTGGAAGAAGGAAACCAGATATAAATGTCGTGTACGGGTCATCAGCTCTGAAATAGGATTTGAGAGGTAGAAGAGGTGGAGGAGTGCTGGGATTTGACCTTGGTTTTTTCATACTAAGCCTTTGAAGCCCAGTGTTTATTTTGCTGTTACAGCACATCTCACTTTGGAAGGGCCAGGGCACTCTGGGGGAACTCTGGTGGCATAGTGCCTAAAGCATTTGACTGCTAACCAGAAGGCTGGCGGTTCCAACCCACTAGCCACTCCTCAGAAGGAGAAGAGGAACTCATTGCACACCATGAAGGCCTCTACAGAGATTGTCAGCAGTTGACAGAATAGGAAGGAAAAGTATCTCAAAGTTAGGAGAGTAACCACTAGAGAAGCTAACAAGTGTGACTGAGATTGGAGGAGGCACGAAAGAGCTAAATTCTCATCTGTCACAGCAGGAAGCCACTTTGGCTTCTTTGGAGGGTGTCTAACATGGGTAAACCAACATAGCTGAGTCGGAGATAGGGAAGTAAGTGCCAGGAGAAATAGCGAACACAGATATGGGCTTGGGAAAGTGAAGGAGTGGGTTAGGGGACTCTTGCTTTTGAATGTAAACTTTTCTATACAGTTTGGTTTTTAACCATGGACATGCATTATTTTGATTTGAAAAATAAAACCCACAAGACACACACACACATACACACACACACTCCTACAGATGTCAACATGAATGGGCCATTAAGTGGTTTCAGTATCCTAAAGTTCAGCATGAACTTCTCTGATCTTCTCAAAGGCTGGCCGTCATCACACCCTGGGTTCATGCTGGGTATTTGTTGTATAGAATTGCACTGTCCAACAGCATAACCACTAGCCACATGGGGCTATTACCAAAAACAACAACAGCAAAAACACCAAACTCACTGCTGTTGAGTTTATTTGACTCATAGCGACCCCTCCTTGGGTTTTTGAGGTGGTATCTCTACGGATGTAGATTGCCCAATCTTTCTTCTGAGGAGTGGCTGGTAGGTTTGAACCACCAGCCTTCTGGTTAGCAGTCAAATGCCTTAGACACTATGCCACCAGAGTTCCCTCCGAAAAAAACAAACCAAACTCACTGCCATCGAGTCAGATCCGACTCATAGCAACCCCTCCTTGGGTTTCTAAGGTGGTATCACTACAAAGATAGATTGCCCAACTTTCCTTCCGTGGAGTGACTGGTGGGTTTGAACTGCCAGCCTTCTGGTTAGCAGCCAATTGCCTTAGGCACTATCCCACCAGAGCTCCCCCAGAGGTTTCTGGCCCTTCCATAGTGAGATGTGCTGTAACAGCAAAATACACACTGGGCTTCAAAGGCTTAGTGTGAAAAAAGCAAGGTCAAATACATACATACATACATATATATATATATATATATATATATATATATATATATACATATATATATATATAATTGTGATTTGGGTTAAGATTTACAGAGCAAATTCACTTTCCATACAGCAGTTTACATATACTTTGTCTCATGACATTGACCACAGTTTACCACAATGCAACAGCTCCCCTCCCACTTCCTCCCCATAGTTACCTCTTCCCAGTATCCATCCCTCCATGGACTCCTGCCCCCTGAGCTGTCTCCCTGTGCATAGGCAGCCCTTCTTTCTCAATGATTGTTCTCTCCAAGGAGTGTATCTACTTGAGGTAAATGTTTAACTCACATGCCTGTATTTTGTTTGGCTGGAAACCACAGGTGTGGTTTCAATTCCAGACCTGAAGGGCAGCTAGGGGCCATAGTCTCAGTGGTTCCACCAGGCTCTATTGGACCAGCAAACCTGGTCCCCCCCCCTCTTTTTTTTTCTCCAAATGATTTTGAGTTTTGTTCCACATTGTTCTCCCTCTCTATCAAGGATCTCCTACATAGATCCCCTTCCAAGTCAAATACCAATATTTTTATATAACCAAAGTGAACTCACTCCCATCAAGTCGATTCTGGCTCATAGCAACCCCCATAGGGTTTCCAAAGCTGTAAATCTTTACGGAAGCAGACTGCCTCATCTTTCTTCCATGGAGCAGCTGGTGGGTTCGAACAACTGACCTTTTTGGTTAGTAGCCAAATACCTTATTATTAAAGTTGATTCTCTATATTTTTACTTTTATAAATGTAGCAACTAAAATCTTTAAGACTAAATATATAGATAACTTACACTATATATCTATTGATGTGTATGTGCTGGTCTAGTACTGTCACTGTCTTTTTGACTTAGCCCTGGTGGTTCTAGCAACAGGAGGTTAAAAGATCCAGAAAAAGTTGGTCAGTAGCCCAAAAGTAATGACAAATTTCCTAAACTTGAAAATTTTTATAACTTTTCCAGAATTTTTTTTTCATTCTCTTAGTTTTTATAGGAGAAAGAATAGGCTTTTCCTCAGACTATTAACCTTCA